TGTAAAGTAGCAAAGCAAATGTTCAAGAATTCAATGAAGTCTGAACAGATACTGCATAGGATAATAGATAAAAATGCTACCAGCTTAAAAAAAAACCCAAAACACAGATTTCTGCTAGATCTTTTTTTGTGAGATGAAACTGAAGTCTACTGTTCAATCACAGCACAATCAGGAATTGAGGGATAGTGACTACATTCCTGGTATTGCTACAGACTTAACTTCAACCAGGTCAGTTTAAATCAAGACCTCTGGAAATGTTTAGACTTTTGTTGCTGTGTATTGTTAGGCCTAAGTGACTTGGGCTCTGAGTTAAGGTATTGTAGACAAAATCCTATTGCATCTCTGGCATACCAACTTGCAGTTGAGCAATACCAACCTGCAGTGAAACTGGAATTGTCACTACTTTTGTGATACTTGTACTTGCATCCTCTGTTGTGCTGAGGATGGTCTGCACTGATGCTTCAATAGCTAGCTGCAGGTAGCTGAAGCTGACTTAAATCTTTCCTTCTGGCTGTGTAAGACTAACATAACACGGTGCTCAGTCCTACACCCAAATTCATGTTCTGCTTTGCTATTCTCACAGCATACTTTAGGGACATCCTTTTTCCCAGGATATCAGAAGACTACTGTCAGGACTTTTAAATTGCATGATGTGACAGCTGACTTCAATTGCGTGAAGGACCATCTTTCAGCCTGGGACAAGAAGTGTATGCTTCAAATCTCACAGCAGATGGAGCAGTGAGTCAGCCTAAGCTGTTGCAAGGCCAAAGCAAAGACTTCTACATCTCTCTGCAGAGGGGTTAAAGAGCAATATCCATTGCTACTCCAGAGGAAGGATCAGACTTGCTTATAGCGAATTGGATTGCAGCCCCAGCTGAGAAACGCATGAGGAGTATTATGGCATGCCCTGTGCGTACAAACAGTGTTGGATGGGATTAACACAAATATCCAGAAGTTTATAACAGATCTTTGCAGAGGTTGTAGGACATCCAGATGGTAATGGAAAAGTGTCTTTAGTGACTAGGTGTGAAATGAGCTTCCCCATAATGGGGAAGGATCATGTTTGGTTGTGGCAAGGCCCATCCAGTCTCTGGTCCCTGTTCTGCCTTGTTTTCTATGTGCCATGGCATGACCCTGTCCTCCTAATGCAAGTAGCTGCTAACTGTAACAGATGAAAATTCAGTACTTTCAAAAAATTAAGGCATGTTTTGTGTGCAGTGAGATGCTGCAATGAACTAATACAGGTTCTCAATTTTATATGACTCCTTCCTCTCTGTCTTAAATTCTTTATTCAGTTCCTATCCAATTCTGTCTCTGTGCTCCCAGTCCTAGTAAGTGAAGTGTTTGAGTGTTATATATGTGCTGACAGATATCCTAGGCTTTTTCTGCAGAGAATAGGAAAGGTGGGCTCACCAGTACCTTGACAGAAATAGGTATGTTGTCAGAAATGGGAAGTTTCAAGTAGCTGTAGTGTCTAGGGGAAAAAAGGTCGCAGTGCAGTCTGTACTGAAGAGGATGGGGGAAGGTGTTGGTGGCAATTTGGGCTTTCAATGGCAGTTTGGTGTTCCCTGTATTTCCCCTCACTGGCAGCCTTTGCAGCAGATCCTGGGCCACCTAAAGAACTCCTCACCTCCCACTGCTGCAGGAACATGAAGGGGGTTGTTCTCCTGCAATACTCTGAAGCTCAGGAAGAAGACAAGCCTCAGAGCACCCCAGGACACAGCAATAGTGGTGTCACCTACCTGTCTTCTTGTCCACTTGTCAGTGTCTCTGTGTGCTCACTGTTGGCAGAAGCAGAGTATTCAACAACCAAGTCCTGTTTTAAAAAGGCAAGTGAATGTGTTAGCCACTGCAGTATTTGACCCAGGCATAGGGTCTGACTTCCAGCTGATCTTGAAATGACAGCTAGTTAATCACTAGGGTCAGATTGCTTAAAGGTTTTTTGAAGACCTTGTGCCTTTTGTCCTTGCCAAACTAAAATTCTGGTTTTGTATCTTTTCTATCTAGGATCTAGATCCTGTGAAGCAGAGGGTAATACATGGAGGTGTATTGTAAAGCTTAAATTACTGCCCATGGAGAAAGCTTTAGTGCCTCTGCATTCCTATTTGGAGGGATGTTTTTAATCCTTGTGTTTTCTGTAGTTGCTGGGGTAGGATGGTTCAATATAGTTCATAGAGTTGCTGCGTTACTTTGACGGAGAAATTTGATGAAGTATGGAAAATAATTGGGATATTTTAATGTATGTCTGCAGCGCTGGCTGTTGTAAACCAGAAGGCATTCTCTAGCATTGACGCGAAGTTATGGATGTTTGCCTGAAGCCATGCTAGATAGTCACATACATACTGGTGCAAAGTTATTTGCAGTTGTACAAAGCATTGTCTTGGCAATAAACAGTGTTGTTCTAACAAAAAGCATAGCTCCTGCGTGAAGTATGACAAGTAAAAAGCTTTATGGAGTCACGTATTTTTCAGGGTGTTTTCTTTAATTGGCTGAGAATCTCTTTAGACCCAGACTTTTCTAATCAACAGTTTAAATCTAGTAAAAGCCTCTGGGAGGGAGGAAAAAACCACTTGTTTTCCACGGAGTTTGAACCCTTTGCACCTGAAAACAAAAGGGACGTTCTGCCTCATAGAGCCCTCTAGTGGTGATGTGCTTAATAAACGTGGGAGGGTTTGGTTTGGGTTTTAAAGTGGTTATCACCGAAAATAGGAGAGGGTTTGGTTTGGGATTTATTGTTCTTAATGCAAATGGTAAGTTTCTCTCATCACTTGTGGATTGAAATATACTTTACGCATAACCAAAAGCAACTTGCTAAACCCTTGTACTAACCTTGTACTAAAAGTACTAAACTTTTAATCAGTTTTGCATTGCCCCGTATCTATAGAGATACTTAAATGCTGATGAATGACTTAAATAGAAATTGTGTTTTGTTGCTATTGATCTGGGACAAGTGGGAAGTAAAAGCATCATCTGAGGTTATAAAATGTCCCTCCGACACTAATAATGCTGTCTGTTATTGGAGGATAAAAACTGCCTGAGGTTTTGGATTTTATTTTATTTTTTTTATGCCAGTATTAAAAAGCAATGTGGTAAGCCATATTTTGTCTGTCTTAGAAGCTGTGGTTCAAACTTTGTGGATTATTTATGTACTTTAACTCCTTTATCTTCTTGGCTTGTTACATGAACTGCAGTGTTCTAGAAAAAACTTAACTATTAGGTTAATGGTAAGTAATGCCTGCCTTTAATTTTGACTTTTTTCTCTTAATTCTTGTTGCTGTAAAATTAGTCAAATTTCAGAGACGAGGAGATGGAGACAATGTGGTGGTGTCTAGGATAGACTGCACATCTTAGAAACTTGTGTTTTAAGCAACAAGTATGTATAAAATCTGTAAGGTCTCATTAACTGCTACTTTAAGTCTGGAATTCTGTCTGAACAAAAATAGTAATGCTTTACGTTAATGAGACATCCAGCATTGTAAGCTCTGAGATGCTTTTGAAAATCTTGCCAAAGTTTCAGGGGGGGAGGAAAGCAAAAATATCAAATTATCACTATGCTTTTATCTTTTGAAGCACTAGGGAAGTGGCTTCATTGCCAAACAGATCATCTTTCCTTTCAGAACCCTCCCACCCTCTTGCTGCCTAATCCTCCTCTGAAAGGAAAAGTACTGTAATAATAGAAGTACCCTGTGAGTGTAGATCTGTGGCATTAAAGGAAACGTTTGTTGCTAGAATGGTGACATGATCAGCCGTAGTAATGATGACTAAATGCCATGACAGCACAAGTTTAGTATTAAACTTTTCTTACCTTTAGATTCAGATGGATGAAAGATGCAGGATGTCTGTTTTGGAAAGCTGAGGAGTGGGAGGGAATGCTTTATGAGTATTTAATGGGTTAGAGAAGGGAGAGCTCTTCAGGTATACTTCCTTTCTGTGTAATGGCCATATTCTTCAACACTGTCTGTGTCACTACATCCTTATTGCTGATCAGAAGACATGACCTAGTCTGGGAACTTGCTTGAGCTGCCTGTGAGCCAGGTACCACTCAAGAACTACCGCTTGCTCATCCTTGTCATTTTTATACCCAGTATGAGCTCAAAACTGGAGACAAAAACTGTATGAAGGGGAACCGGTGGGAAGCACCTTCTTTGATTACTTATACTGATACTGCAAATAAGCTGTTTGGGCAAGGGTTTATTGCAGCTAATACTTATGCAAGATTTTGTAAAAGGTCTTTACTTTGTTGTGCTGCTCATCATGGAAGAGAAGAAAACGTAAGCTTCTGCTGCTCAAGGCTTTGGAAAATATATAATAATTTTCTGCCAGTAACATGCTTTGGAAAATTTGCCCAAAGTAAGCTTAGGTGTGTGTGCGGGGGAGAGGGAGAGTGTTCAGACTGGTAAGACATATTCAACAACTGTTTGTATTTTAGAGATGTAGCAACTGAGTTTTCTGAAAGTCATGCTTCAGGAAAATATCAGACTGTGTTTGTCTTGGGTCTGTGTCAGCTTGAGAGTTTAAATCAAGCTGAGAATCTTGAAGAAGTAGGTCTTTAAGGCTTTGAAGGCGTGTAATTTAGAGTGAGTGTATCTGCTTTTAAAAAAGTCAACATCGTGTCTTTATGTTGTGCTGTGGTTTTGTGTATTCACTGTGATGATGGGAGTTAATTCCAAGGCAGGCTGACAACCAACTGACCTGATTCAGCTTTTGTTGAGGTTTCTGAAGCATTGCACAAGAGGTTTGAAGGAAAAAGTTTGGGAGCATGTGACAGTTAATCTCTTTAGCAGTAAGAATGAAGTTTAAGCATACTGTTGGAAACACACTCAGGTCTGTGCTGCTCTTTGTTTTAATTAACAATCTCCTGCATAGATTGGGAGTGTAAACATACTTGCACTTTAGTCCAATTAAATTGTGCTTGGAGGCTGTCAATGGCGGGGGGGGGGGGGGAACTCCCTCCTACTCCCCCCCCCCCTTTTTTAATTGTTCAGTGAGTTTGTTGTTGAATAGTGAAAGAATTTCCCTGGCAGGGTTTTGTAGTGTTTTGTCCTCTTGATGAGTTATTGCAGCGGGTAGGCGACAGTCTCTTTTGTTCAAAATGCATTGGAATGATTCATCCAATTCCTCAGAAAGTGACAATGAAGCTCATTCAGCCTTTACGCAGACTGAGCACAACGTAGTTGCAGCTTACTTAATCACAGCAGGTATGGGTATTGGCAAATAGTTGCATAACTGTTTAAAATACAACTGTAGTTCTGAATGTTCATTTTGTATAGTAACAGAGATGGTGTTTCATTTTGTGTAGCACAAATGTCTGATGACTCTTCTCCATAGTTTACTGACATGTTAGCAGGCTGACTGAAGTGTGCAGAAACATCTAAGTTTTCTGCTCTATATTTGAAGGTAGCATTGTGTGTTGAAAAATATATTTTGTTGATATGTAATTATAGAAGAGAGTAAGAATTAATTTCTGCCAGCTTGCAAAAGGGATAAAAATAGGACATAGCTGTCACATCTTGCATTTTTCTGTGATGTGCTTGAAGCTATCTTGAGATTTCTCCTGGGCCACATGTTTGTAGTAATATATGTGTAGTCTGAGCATGTGAGCGGGTGTCTGTTAGGGGGATGTAAGGGGAAGGGTTGGAATGTGACTTAGAGGGAGGGAGCTGGCCATTAATCACAGAAGAGCAGACTCTGGTTGCAGCTGTATTTTTCACCAATGACACATGTTAGAAAAAGCACACTGAAAGGCTTGACATCGTGTTCATTCCCTGTGACTGCAATGGCCTTTGGCTAAACTTGAATAATTACATTTGATTCCCCCCCCCCCCCTTGAAAACTTTCTCATTGTTATAATCATAACTGCTTCAGTAATGCCTTTTTTTGAGCATTGAGAGCTATAGCAATGAAATATCAATGTGACCAAAACCTGAAACTGTCTTTAAAAATAGGCTTTCTATATCTTTATTATGGAAAATCAGATCAGTTTATAAATACTTTTTTTTTTTTTCCCCACAGGCTTTACCATACATTTTCTATGCTATTATTAGCTTTTAAAATACATTAAAATATTAATGGACTTTAAGTTTATATGAAATAGTATTGTGGATGGTCTCATTTTATTTAGCATATCTATTTGAAGTGGTATCAAAGTGATGTTCTGGTTAAAGGCTATTTTTGAATGCAAAGGCAATAATTTATTTCATATTTTTAGAGAAATTGCTAGAACAACTACACAGAATAAGTAGACTTGTTATGAAGCTGTAGAGATGAATTATGGTAATGTATTGGAAGGCTGGATACACTCTGCAGTACTACAACAGTATTTGCAGGTAACTGGATCTATTATGTGCTGCAGATACGTATGATATTTGTTATATTTTTAATTTAAATTGGTTAGATTGTATGCAACAAGGTGGTCTTTTCAGATAGCTATCTTTTCAGATAGCTTGGTGTTAGGGATCAAAGCTATCATAGGTGATCAATGGGAATAGCTAGAATCAACCCAGATCTTCTTCCTTAATCTTACAAGGAAATTAAATGTCTTTAAAAAAGCAAACAAAAAGTTGGATTGCTTTTTGTTTATTTGTTTTCCTCTTATAATTGCAGGAGCCTAGTAACTCGCCTGTAGGCTGGGCTTAGCTTTCTTAATGAGGAATCTTTTTGACAGTAAGATCTATAACATCTTTGAAAGTATGATTAATTGCATTGCAAATGCCTTACTACCACAGATCTCACCTCTGGAAAATTTAAGCTGTGTTAGTAAACAGATGTCTAAGAATAAGAATGAAGCAGAGGTACAGTGCTCATCATTATGTTGCTTTTTAAAAGGTTTGAATTCTTATGCAAATAATTGCTTCGTTTTCTGAGAATGAAGTAATTGTTGAGTATTGCACTCTACAGTGGCTAGTGTATTAATTCTAGTGATGACCACAAGGATACTCAGGCTGCAGGAAGCAATACTACTTCATGGACATCTTTCATCTTACAATGGTGAAATGCTCTGGTATCATTTTAAAAATGCAAAGTAAATTGTGTTATACACAGACCTAACCTTCATTGTTTTGATGCTACTACATGTGCCTTGCTTAACTTTAAGGCTTTTATTTACATTTGTTCTGCCTTTCATTTTCATTGCTTCCCTGGGAAGGAGGAAAGTAAATTCTTCTGCTCTTGATCAGGTTATGAGGCTTTTATCTTCAACTTCATAAAGCTACAAGGCTTATTTAAAGAAATGTGGGAATAGTTGTCTAACCCTAGGATGCTTCACAGGCCAAGTGGCAGCATCCACATGTTGTATCTGAATCACATGAGTTTGTCCCAGTTGATGATTTCAGGCTACTGAAAGTCTTGGGCTTGATCTGCACTCCCTACCCTCTAAGACTGGGCTCTGAGGCACAGGATTTAACTGTGTCTAGCAGGATCTTTCCTTCACCCCGAGGATACAAGTTTATAGCCCTGGTGTATTTCTGATTTCATTCTTGGTAGCTGTAATATCTGTTAAAGCATGCCTCATAGGGAGCCTGTGCTGTTTTATAAAGTGGTAGTTCTATTTTGTGAGATGACATACTACCTGTCAACTTGAAAGCTGACAGAACTGGCACTGCAAGTGCTTTTACTGTGTGTTGGTTTCAGATCAGATCCCCAGCTCCTTGCTTTTTTGCATTTTAGGGCCTCATAGCATCACCCTCCTGAAATGTGTGACTATATGAATATGGCAGCTGATGACATCTATGTGGCTATGCACCTCCAGCATCGTCTGTAATGTAAAGTTGCACTAGGCAGGAGACTTGCACTTGAGAGCAGAAATGCTTGGTGTTTAAAGAGAGAATGGAAAGAGAGACAACCAAGAATTAATTACATTTTTGCTACATTTAATTTAAGTTACAGAATCTGTTGTGAGAATTTCTGTGATGTAGGAGATTGTATTGGTTAATGCAATGTTGCAGTAAAACTCGCTGTGTGAGTTTCAGGTATAATAAAAAGGGTACATATTTATAGGAATGAAATTGAGAAATTCCGTTTAAAGGATGAAGAATTGGTGTTGTCCTTATTGTCTGTTATCTAAAGAATCATCTTTGTTACATTTTTATGTATGTTACAGAAGGCTTTCATTTTGCCCTTTTGCATACCTGTCATGTCTCGCTGAACATAGTGGTTCAGATGGTACTTCTGATGTGTATTTGACCCTAGGAATGCCTTAGTTCAATGCACTGGGGTGTGTGCTGTTATTTATAAATCTGTTTATTGTGTTCCTGTGGACTGCCAAGGATGGAGCCCACAGGACTTCCCATGCTTTAAAAGAATTTTCATGCTTTGAAGGAATTTTCTTCAAAATTCAGCTGTACAGCTGAAGTACTTGAAACTGATTCTTGCCTTCAGGTTTTCTAACCTTGCTGATTTGAGGTTGTTTGAACTGCAGCATGTTTGTAGTCTGCATATAAACTGATGTTAGGGGTTTTTAACTCTGTGCTGCACCATTGACAGTGACAGATGTGAAAGAACATTGTATAATACTTACAAACCTTACTGCCCTTTCCACAGAGGCATGTCACAAAAGCTAAAGTGTGTGTGTCAGTTTTCTGGTGGAGTCAATAGAGAAGCAGAAATCCCATCAGTGAAGGTGATGGCCAGCAAACTGGAGCAGGATGGGAAGTGACTGTGAAAGAAGATGAGTCTGCTTTTGGAAGTCTACATTCAGTATGACAGCCTCAAGCTCCTTACAGAATTATGCCTCCAGTCTGTGATGATGAAAACTACAGTGTTTTGATTCATAGGTGAAACTTCTTAAATAAAAATTAAAAACAAACAAACAAATCCCACAAAACAACCCCCCTGAAAAACTTTAAGGGTCATCTCCATGGATAACATGTTAACAAAATAATTCCACTTGTTCATTTAAGGTGCCCAGGCTATACGAATATTTGTAAGTTTAGGATTTGGTTCAGTGACACTGTAACAGCTATGTCAAACTACATGATCTGAACAACTCACAGACTCCTGTTATTTACAAGTTATTTTTTTCATGGCTGTGTTTGCTTGAACATGTTGGAATTCTCCATTTTATTGATAAAAGCGTCATTGGAAAAGTTTTTCTCTGCTTGTCAGGCATCTGTCTTCTTCACAAAATTGCACTTGACTGAAATTACTATTTGTTTAGGACATAGATACTCCAACAGGCTATATTTTCTTCTGCATGTATATTGCTGGCTGGTGGGTACCTTTGGTAAAGTTTCCCTTTTTCTGTTTTTACAGGAGTGGTAAGCATTTTCAGTAATATTGTTGTTTTGGGCATCTTTGTTAAATACAAAGAGCTTCGGACAGCAACCAATGCAATAATTATCAACTTGGCTTTTACTGACATTGGTGTTAGTGGCATTGGTTACCCCATGTCTGCTGCCTCAGACCTGCATGGAAGCTGGAAATTTGGATATACTGGATGCCAGGTATTGCAATTAAGTCAGAGAGAAAGTTTTGAGCACTTAAAAGCAAACTGAGAAATAAGCAGTAGCTCAACCTCATATTAGTTCTTTTGAGATAAGATGGACATGCAAAGTTTGACATTAGACCTGAAGCTGATGTTCTGCCATGTCAACAATGTCTGGATATAGGATTTTGCATGTGATTTTCAAAGTGTAACATTATATTTATCAACTAGAGATTTGAAAATAGCTTTAAGAAGACATAGGAAACAAAATCCTCAAATGAAGAAGGTTATAGTAACATATGCACATTTGATGACTTATTTGATAATGAAAAGACTTTGGATGTGACTACAGTTTTGATTATGAGTTTGACAGATCTTAATGAGTTCTGCTTGGCCAATACATGTTCTTTCAGATTTCTCTATTACGATATCCAAAATGAAGGTCTGCAAGGCTAAGGCTAAGATTTAGCTTAGTTTTAATAGCTGTCTATTTTTAAAAATAATCTGACTGAAAAATTATACTTCCATAGCAGAAACATAGTGCCCTTTGCTCTGAACTGTGATTTAAATCTCAAGTGTCCATGAAAATAGGTAGTAATATAAAGGTGTATACTGAAAATGTGACTCAAGAATAACATTAGCAGCAATACACATTTCAGACCTTTATATAATGGATATTTATAATAATCAGAGTTCACTTGCCTGACTTATTTCAAGTTCAAAATTCAGTTACTGTTTGACAGGAAGCCTCACTTAACATCTTTGTACTTAGGCTATCCTGTAGCGGGTTGAAGTTGATGTGAAATCTCAGTACCAATGGTTTGGAGTTCACTTGACACACAGCTCCCATCAATCTAAACCAAATGAATCCTGTGAACTGAGATGGTTGAATGTCATAACCACTGTTGGTATGTAATCTGGCACAGGGTGCTATGTTTCTTGGGTGCCAGTGCTAACACAGCCTTCCCAGTCTTTCTTCCTGATCTCACTGCCCATGGGATGACGGGGCAGATGCATTTAGAGCATGTTGGGATTGCAGCATCTGTCACCCTGTGCAGCAGATCTGACACATGTAAAAATGGAGTCTGATGGGGAAAATCAGTGTACCACATCTGTGAAATAAGTGGAAAGAGTGACAATTCAGGATCTCACATTTGCTAAAGCCATAACCTTTTTGATGAATCAAATGCTGTTCAGATTTCCTTCAACTTATACCAAAACCATGAATTGAACCCCTTCAACCTCCAGACTCTGAATCTCAAAATTTACTTACTGAAGTATGGTGTTTTTTTTCTTTTTAGACTGCTGTTTTTAGGATTTCTGATGCACACACAAGCAGGTTGCTTTTGAAACATTTAATTTTAAATGAGCCATCTCCAAATTGCCTTCACTGATTTAGTTCTTTCAGTACCTTGCTTATGAAAGAGAACACAGCCTGAATGTAATGTATTAGTGCCTTCGATTCAGTCCACGAATTTGTGCTTGTACATTTGACAGATTTCTCAGAAAATGCTTTTTTGTTTGTGTGTTTTAATTTCAGATCTATGCTGCATTAAATATCTTTTTTGGGATGGCGAGTATTGGTTTGCTCACTGTTGTTGCAGTTGATCGTTACTTGACAATCTGCAGGCCTGATATAGGTACTGTACTTATGATAAAAAAAATGTTCACTGTTGAACTTCTGTGAAATAATAGTCAACTGTTTTCTCATAAATGACTCCATAATTACAGTGCTAGGCATAATTTGAATTTACGGCATGATCCTGCAGTACTTGGTTAAGTAAATTATCTAGTTGGCATGAATAATACTGCTGGAGACAGTGAATTTTTCACAATTAGGCTCTTATTCTGTTTATAAGTTGTATTTTCGTGGTTGTTTGCAGTCTTTGGAGGACAGTATCTATATACAGAAGCACATGAAAAGCCTCCAGCTGTGGGAGGTTTTGAAGCAGGTGTTTGCTTCTGCTGTTGTGTTAGCGCTGAACTGTACGTTTTTCTCTCCTCTCTGTTACAGCCATATTGTCAATACAGACATATTGTCACAGTTAATTCCTGCCCCTGCAGTCCTGCAAGTGTGTACTGGAACGCACTGTTGCATAATAAACTTTTTGACGTGGGGTTAGGATCAGGTATTGCCTGTATGATGTGAGTTGGAGTGGATGATGGTATTTAGGTGGTGTTACAGGTTCAGCAGTATGAAATGATATACTGCAGTGTTCAGGAGTGTAGGCCTTTGAAAGGATCATTATTCATCTAGTATGTGCTTTCTGGAAGCCACTTGTTGCAGTTCAACTCTGGAAAGAAGCAACAGATGACAACGGTTTGTGATTGTATGTGTTTGGCCACAGGGAGAAGAATGACTGCCCGTAGCTATGCCACTCTAATCCTTGCTGCTTGGATAAATGCAGTCTTCTGGGCTTCCATGCCTACTGTAGGCTGGGCTAGCTATGCCCCGGATCCGACTGGAGCAACATGCACAGTAAATTGGAGGAAAAATGATGTGTAAGATTTCCCTTCACCCTTTCTTTTCAGTTTGCTGTCTCATTGAAGGCTAAGCTTATTTAATTCTCCACCCTCTGAGTATAACTTCTGTCAGAAGTATGAGGTGTAGTTTATAATAATAATTTTAAAAATATGGAAATAATATAGAGCAGATCTAGAAAAAATACAGGAATTGAGCTGTGCTTGAAAACAGCAAGATTTGTAGGTGCTAATAAGAAAATTAAAGCTAAAGAAAGTTTTCCTAATTCTTTAAAAGCTTGTTTTAGAATTTCAAAATATCAAAATCTTTAGTAACTTTTACTGAATGGCTATTTGTAAGTTACTGTGTTTTGTTTTTCTGTTTTATCAGGTCCTTTGTTTCCTACACAATGAGTGTAATTGCTGTTAATTTTGTTGTACCCTTAACAGTCATGTTTTACTGTTACTACAATGTTTCCCGGGCAATGAAACAATATGCCAGGAGTAACTGCTTGGAAAGCATCAACATAGACTGGTCTGACCAAGTAGATGTGACAAAGGTATAGTAAATTAGGGCATGTTTTATTTTAAGCATGTTCTTTAGCATTAAATCTTGGGGCCAAAGGAACATTGCAGCCTTTTAAGCATTTCTGTTTCCTACATTTCCCCTTTTCCTTTTGTACTAAATATAACTGAAATTCAGCCTAGGTGAAAACTCTTGGCTTGACTTATAACACTATATTCTTTACTTTTGGCCTAATACTCTTTCCAGATGAATAGCTACTTTGACGCCTGGGAACAATCTGAATTTTCCTTGCCTCTACCATTCTGTCAGTACACAGAAATATACCTCAGAGGTGTCCATCCTAGGAGGACTTTTACTCTTTGTGTCTGTAGAGTCCTTAGGCTTTCTGCTAAGTAGGTAGGGGTGTCTGGTCTGAAATGGACTAGCCAACTCTGATTTGAACTCATGGCCTAGAAATAAAAGTACATTTCCAAGCTCCCAAAATGTGTGATTCTGATCCCTTGTACTTTTCAGTCTGTTAAGCTTATCTCTTATGTAAACAGTAGCAAATACCAGTTATGGCATAAAATGATATATTCTTCCTGGAAGGTTGACATTCTTTTAACGTCTAAAAGTCCTTTAGAAAGCTTGAAGCTCACTAGCTACTTTGATTTTGTGTAAAGATGTGATTTATAGCTGGGCATGATAAGTGAGAGAGAATTGGGCAGACAAGTATGTACCTATGCTTTTGAATTACTTATCAATGCAAACTTAACATTCCTTGGAAAACTTTATCATTGCTAAATTGTGAAAAACAGTACTTTTACCTACAAATAATAATCTAACCATTTTGCTCTTCTTAAAAACTTCCACAATGCTTAAAGCTGAGGATTCAGGTATAAATTTAAGCTCATATTTGTGAAGAAAATATATTTTTGCTGTTTTGCAGTTGAAGATACCAAGTTATATTTTGGAAAAAAATAAAAGGATTCAATCTTTGGAGTTTCTTTTTTGGAACTGGACTGCTTGCTTTTGCAACAACTGGCATCTTTAAGCTTCTTTACATTATTATTGATATGTGTGACATTTGTATTTAAACAGGAATCTTCTGTGGAAAGAGTCACTCTGTTTATTGGTTGTGCTCTGGAAGAGCTCACACAAAGTAGCCATTTACTTCTTGTTTCTCATTTTGTTCATCACAGAAAGACTAAGACTATAGGTAAACAACACTAGGGAATCCTATACATACAAAGAGCCCTGCAGGTTTGTCTGTTTATTTAGTGATTCGTTTTGTCCTCTTGATTAGTTTGACATTTTCATTCCAGTTTCAGTTACTGGTTCATGTCCCTGACAAAAACCAAAGAGGTCTGCCCCAGCTGATTCCTCTCCTAACCTTCCATTACCCTTATTTTTTTGCAGTTCATTTCTAGCTGGGGTGTGGAGTCTTCTGGGGTATGAGCCCCACGTGCCCGCACTGTTCTCTCTGACAGGCAGGCAGAGAAGACGTAACTGCTCAGATAGCTGCTCAGCGTGATGCTTGAACATGGCTATCATACTTCATTAAATCAGACACTTCTGGGTTCCATAAGTATATGGACTGAGCCTTTGTATCCAAGAACATTTACTTTCTTTAATTTTACTGTACCACAGTTAAACCTTATTAAACAGTTTTATTTATTAACATCTTTATGAAATATTTGGTTTAGATTTTACTCTCTGTTCATATTTTTTATTTGTAATAATGTCCTAAAGTGACCTGTTATGGTGGTCTTAATTCATGTGTGAAGTCATCTCTGGCCATTGAAACTTCTGCTGGAGAGATTTAGCATGATAAATAGTGCTGACTGTGAAGGAAGATTGTACATAATGAAGTCACAACATGCCAAAATACATGATGGTGTGATGTGCTATTAAATCCCCAGAGTGAGATTTCATTATGACCTGTCAAAATTTGTCAGGTGTGCTTGTTTACATGTTGCTATTTGGGTCTGCATAGCTCTGTTTTCACAAAGGTGCATGTGCCTTTGAGGTTAGGTTATAAGGCCTTTATCTTCAGGTAATACTGGTTACGAGTCTGTTCCTCTTCTTTTACAGATGTCTGTTGTGATGATTGTAATGTTCTTGGTGGCATGGTCTCCATATTCTATTGTGTGTCTGTGGTCTTCCTTTGGAAACCCAAAGAAAATTTCTCCTGCAATGGCCATCATAGCTCCTTTATTTGCAAAATCTTCCACATTTTATAATCCCTGCATTTACGTCATTGCAAACAAAAAGTAAGTGCTCCCAATTTAATACCACTCTACTTGATGATTTTAGCTAATCATATAACTATAGTAGGTTCATCTGAAAAATATGATTAGCAAAGAGGTCAAAGGGTAAACCACTGATGATTTAACAAAGATGACCTTTCGGACAGGAAACCCTAAAAGAAATTGTTTTGATCATCATAAGAATATACTAAATTGATAAAGATTTTTGAAAACACATTAACACAGCTTTTGTAAGACAGTTTTGAAAGTCCCTTTGTGGCTTCTCAAAGGGACTTATGGATTTTGGGTTGCATCAGCAGTAAACTGGCTTTAATAACTGTGGCCAAAATGTGTGGCGGCTTAGTGACATGTAAATTCTGTAGATTTCTTTGCTTGATTTGGGATGTGTCATATTCTGACTGATTAGGATGGATTGACACCGTTAAAGTAAATAAGCTAGACCTATTCATCTGTTTTGAGCAAGCATATCAAATGCTCTAACCAAGCCAATGCCTCTGACTGAGAACTGGGTTTTGCAAGGAAGCATCCTTCCTTTCTCTACTACCAATCTAGAAGCAGAGCCTGTGATCTCTGTCTAGGTGAACTTACCTGATCCGGCTGAAAAAATCCATCTAATTTTTTTCACCATTCTGTAAGTTCATCTTTGTCATGGCTATACCCTGTCCTGGGATAAGCAAAACCTGCTGTGATGCCTGTTGTAGAAGAAACTTAACTGAGTTAAGTTCATGTACATGGAATTGAAAAAGACTTGGGTCCTCTCAAATTCCAAATACACCATTTTTTTATGAAGTAAGGTTTACTGAAGTTGAAAACTGTTGTAATACTGAAGGTAGCTTACCCAGTGTTTCTTGGTGTTTGGTTCTCCAGCTAATGATCTTTCCGTTTTCCCTTTCTTGCCTTTGCAGGTTTCGGAGGGCAATCTTGGCAATGGTGCGATGTCAGAGAAGACAAGAGATAACCATAAACAACGCCTTGCCCATGAGTGTATCACAAAGTGCACTGACGTCGTAGAACTCATGTCATTTGCATGCATGAGTTAAATGGAAAGGAGTGAAATCTCAGTTAAAGCTAATTAATCTTTCGAAAGATTAATCTTTTGGAATAATTATCTGCCCCAGACAGCTGTTTCTGTTAATCACAATAATCTGTTTAGATAGGTTAAGAAGGCAAAACGACAAAACCCATTAAGACTTTAGGTTTTGAGAATGGGGTTTATTGGCCCAATATGTCTGTCCCAAACAAAAAGGGGTAGTGATCACTGACTCTTACAGTGTGGACAACGTGACACAGGGCAAGGAGAACCTGAATCAGGAAGTGCTTAAATTCAGTAACATGGATTTTGCACCTCTAATTCCTTTCATGAATTACTTTTTCTCATCTTCCCTTGAAAGTTTTCCAGACTTAAAATATTCTGGATTCTCCCTGTGTGAATATATTTCTATAGAAGGTGTCCATGTTGGTATGCTTTGCAGAGTTCTGTTTCTGTGAATATATTAGCAAAATATCTAGCCAAACCCAATAGCACCTGTTACCAGCTCTTAGGAATTTTAAGGAGTTTTTGTATATTTTAACGTATTTTTAAAGTTTTTGCTCACACAACCAAATGAATTTGTAGGAAAGACAGCTTTTGTTTTTAGTAATAGTAACAGAAACTATTTAGTAATAGTGCTTGTGACTGCACAGCAAATACTGAAAATGAGACAAACTGTACCCTCAATCTTGACATGTGGGAAGCATATAAAACTGAATAAATATTTATAGTTATTTCTCATAATTTCTAAGTCAATCTCATGGTCATATAGGTCTGTTGTGTAGTTTTCAAAAAATACCTTTGGTGAGGTGATTTATTCAGGATGGAAAAGATGACTGTGTATACATCTATTTATGAATGCTAGTATATGCACTCTTGATGATACTCAGAATTTTAGAATAAATATCTTCTGTTATTGCGTATGCATGAATATGAAGTTTGCCTTTGCATTGTGTAACTTATTCACATGGGTGGGTTGTTTTGTTTTTGTCAAAAAAAGCCTGTTTTTACAGGATTTTTTAATGAACTCTGGAATCTAGCTCTGGCTTCCTATTCATTTGCAATTTTCAGTATTAAAGAAAATGCCATGCAATAGCCTCATGCTGTACTAGATTTCCTCCAGGAACCTTGGAACATTTTATGGACAGTAACTAATGCATTGCCTCTTAGAAGGAGCAAAGAAGCATTTTATTACATGCTAACTTTGCAAGCTATCTATTAAAATAGCCTTGAAACATGCTGGATATGCCTGGAAACAGTGTGTTGTTCTAACAGAATAAAGAATGAACTGGCTTAACTGATCCATTTCAGGATACATTTGAAGGTTAAGCAACTACAGATCTCAGTTAATCTGATGTAATCTGCTGTTACTAAATGGATGTCTGCATTCACATTCGTAGCACACTGCACATGAGTGCCTAGGAATGAAGTTTTAATTTTTTCCATATCAGTTCTGCTGGGGAGAAGTCATGTATCTATTTGTTTATTTCTACCTCCTCATGACCTTTCTTGAAGAACTGCATGGTTTTTGTCCTTCACAATGCACTTGCGTTTACCATGGCAGAAGCGATGGCGCTGGAGCAAGGTATATGTTTTATTCTTTGTCGTACAAGGCAATTTATAAGGAAAAGGGATGAAGAAATTGGAAATAACATTTTCATACGTTGCAAATTTGTTCTAGCATAGTTGAAATAAAGGCATCTTTTATGCCGGTATTGTACAGCTAGAAGCATTCCTGAATAGGAACAGATGGTGATTATGGCTCTGTACTTTTCAAACAGCTACTTTAAATCTTCAGGTCTTGCAGAAGGCAATTTCTTTCTGCTCCATGATTTTCCTACTATTGTAATGTCCTTTCTATTTTCAGAAACTAATTGTCTACTGTAAGGTAATTCTGGTTTAAATAAATACAGTAGTTTCTTCTTTTTTAATCTACAGGAAAATCATATGATTTTTTGGTACTGTAGAGGTTAATTTGAAGTTTGATACTCTGGGTATTGTCATATCAGTTTTGGGAGATACAGTTTCTCATTGCTATTTGTCACAATATACCCAGTATAAAGCTGCATGAGGAGAAAGTAAAATAAAGAAAAAATATAGAAAAAAGGGGGACAACATTAGATGTCGTCTTATTGAGGGGAGGGAAATCTTAAAGCTGATGAGTGCAAACAACTTATTCCACAGAAATGGAAGCAAACTGATTCTTGAAAATGCTGAGAGATCCCATTTCAATAAAATCAGTGGGAGCAGAAAGTTCTTAGCACCTCTAAAAAGCAGGAATTTTTTTTCAGACAACAGAAAGAAGGCTAGAAAGCTCTCCTTTAGAGAAATATGTTAACATTTTCATTTTTCAGTCTGTTCTGAAAGGTAAATATAGACAAATACTTTGAATCTTCATCATGCAGAAAAAAATAGAAATTAGTAATCCAAATTTCTGAATTTTAGTAACACAAATGGCATGCAGTTCCCACTTGAGATACATGCATGCATTATTCCTTATACAATGGCTTCTGTTTTTCAGTTGTCAATAGAACAGATGACAGAGGATGGTGCTTATATGCTTTATAATAAAGCAAATTAAACTTCACATGAAAGTATTTTGTGGGTTTTCTTTTTTGTAATATATTTAGAAACTCCCTATTTTCCTTTTTGATTTTTAAATGCAGAGGACTGCTCTTGAGCTGACATTCTTTATTCTTCTAGTAGTGTTGCAGAAAGTAATAGTATCTGCATTTAAATCTAAAATGCAAATTTCTGGTAAAGAAATGTCAATATCTTTCTCCTTTTTCTCCCCTATTTTTTTTGTGTCTTTCTTCCTGATGCTAGGTCTGTACTCTGTAATGATCCTGACATGTATGAGATCCCCGTAAATGTTCCTGTGGATACTGTAAAACTTCGTATAGAGAAAACTGTCATACGAAGGATTCCAACTGAAGCCTTTTACTACCTAGTAGATCTCAAATACCTGTGGGTAACTTACAACTGCGTGGCAAACATTGATATCAGCAGTTTCTATAACCTGAAACAACTGCATGAGCTACGGCTGGATGGTAATCTGCTCTCGACGTTCCCTTGGGAATCACTGGCAGAGATGCCCAACCTACGGACTCTTGATTTACACAATAATAAAGTAACCAGCATTCCTGCTGATGCTGGCCGGTACCTAAAAAACCTCACCTACCTGGATATATCCAGCAACAAGCTAACCACCCTGCCATCAGACTTGATGGACATTTGGCCCCCCTTCTCAGAATCTGTCCTGTCTAAGAGCAGAGACAGTCTAGTGACCCAGAGAGTCATTTTGGGTATGTTAAACAGCTTGTCTCATTCCTTATTAAAATGTACCTAAATGTTAAGCTGAAAGTGAGAGCAGGTAGGGGACCAGCCTGGGATTTGGGAGAGTGGGTTTTATCTGGGTCAGTCCTCTGGTTTGCTCAGTGATTCTTTATTTGTTTATTTCTTGTTGGTGGAAAACTATAAAATGAAGATAGTGATCTCGATGCATGTTGTTATCTCAAGGTTATAAAATTAAAGTAAAATCTATGAGATTCTGGTCTGCCAGAATACAGGCCTTATGGAGCGCTCGATATCCATAGAAATGTAGAACTTCCAGAAATTGAGTTTTGGATGACATTTCCCTCATCACTGTATGTGGTGGCAACTGCAAGCATATCCATTTGCAACTATTTTTTCCATTGGCTCACAAGCCAAGCAAGTAGCTAGAGTTGATGCTCATATGAAGCATGTCCCGAGACACAGTGCTGCAGACAATGTTGGCAGCTCAAAAGGGGGTGGCTCTGCCGTCCCTGTGATTCCTGTTGACCTTGCATTGCTTTAAATTAAACCCTATATTTTTCCCAAATTTTCATGTTAATATGTGAGAGAGAATAGGAATCTGATCCCTACAACTTCACAGCACTTTTTATAGTGTTGAAGGTACTTTTATAGTATTTAAGGTATGTGTTTAAGAATAGTTTGTCCAGACTCTGATTTTTTTTCATACTTTTATTCCATCTGTCCAGTATACCATCACATCAGTTCTGTTTGTGACTTTGTGCTGTATCTTATTCTAAGTAACCCCATTCTCTTCTGCAGTCTCAGAACATGGCTGGAAAAGTTCTATCAATAGTGTTCTCTTCTGTCACTGTTTGTGCATAAGTGGATGTTTTGATGGTTTTGTAGCGTAGCAGGAGGAAGGGAGGAAAGCCATCTGTGTCTCTCTCTACTGGAGCAGTTTTACACCCACTGGTAAAGATCTGCCCAACATTGTACTGCCCAGTATTTCCAGTCTCTTGATCTAATCCCCACTATTCAGTGTCCAGTTGTTCAACTGCTTTGTTTCACAGCAGAATCTGCAATTTAAAACTCTTATTCAGGGGAGATTGTAGAGAAGTAGCTTCACAGATGCAAGCAGGCTGAATGAGTTTCACACATGAATGGTAACTCTAGGTTTGCGGCATTAATAGGATCTTCATCTATTCAGGATTAAAAGAAAAAGCTGTAAAAGTGTATCCAACTCAGTACTCTTTTTCCCTGCCCCCATACTAAAGGCAGTGAAGTAGGAGCTGACTGTGCTAGATCTAAATTCTCCTGATGATCTCATGTGGGAGTCCCTTGTCTTACAAAGCCCTCACTGCTTAAAAACCAAAACAGCCAACCAACTAAGAAACCCAAAATACCAAAAAGCTTCAAACCCACACAGACTTTTCTCTTTCCCTTCCCCCCTTGACAACCATCTGCAGCCTTTGTTGGTGCAGGTAGTTTGCCAGCGTCCTCTAGTCCTGGCAAACCTTCTTGTGCCAACATTGAGTCCCCTAGAGACTTGAAATGTGATGTTTGGATCATTTTCACTTATGAACTACAGCCGGGTTTGAATACAGACCTCCAGAGGGGTTCAAAGAATGCCTTGCTTCTCTTTTTATAATGGTACGTGCTGAGGTAGGCTCTGTGAAGTTTTTAAAGATTTCGATCTGAGGATGTAGAATGCCAGTTAGTACTTTCATTGTGTTGGGTAAATATACCTTAGGTAAGCTGTGAGTTATTAGCTGAATTTTCTTTCATTGACATCATATAGCCTTCTGATGAATACATTCCAATGAAGACAGGCAGTGCTTGCTGTATAAGAAACTCACTGGTGAATAAGAAAACATCCCCTTCCTCTGGAGATTAAAAAGTGCAGTACTTTTTGTGTCATGGGTTATTTTGACAAGCTGACTTAGTCTCCACTGAGTGTTAGTTTTATTATATTACTGGAGCTTGCAAAGTGGTAGTTATACCACTCCCACTCACTGCCAGGAGCTCATCCTTAGGTTGCTGTTGATGGACCACTACAAAGCAGTTGTTTTTCAGGAATGAATGGCTGACAGAAACTATCAGGCTAGAAAGATGACGTAGGAGTTGAGATGTCTCTGTAATGCTCCAACCATAGGAGATGTCAGAACAGGAGAAAGATGTGTTCTTCTAACACCTCTTCTGTCTCTACCAGGATTGCTGAAGCCCAAGGGAGGAGAAATGTAACCCATAAATATTCTCCTCTGAGGCAAGAGATAAGGATCACAAAGGTATGTGATCAGGTAGGATTTCAAAAAGGCCATCCTG